TCTCTTCCTGCTCGGCTTTTAAATGTAAAATGCTAACAGGAAATGTTGATTTTATGATAAATGAAGAAATAAATCAATGAATGCCAAAGAAGAAGAGATGAGACTGAAAGTGTGGGTGGAAACATAGAACTGCTGAGAATAAAAAAAGTGTTCCTCATGCTGGTGAGCATGCTGCACTGGTGCAGTGAGTGCTCTGCAAATGTGCACTGAACTGAATATTAAAGGACTATGACCAGAACATCCCTGGTGAACACGAGGTGACTCCATCACACAGACATGCAGTAGATGGTGTACAGCGCGTACCTGGGATGTTGTAGATCTGCCGGCGGCTGTCATGCTGCAGTCTATTGCTGCTACTGCTGCCTCCACCGCTGCCACAGTGCTTAGCACTAGTCATTCCCATGAGGCTACTGGCCACTGACAGCTGGGAAGCCTGGGCGAAGTTGGACAAGACGCCTTGTGCTGAGTTGGACAGACCTCGCTGCAGTGAGGCCTGGGGCTGGGGGGCCTGAGGACAATCCAGACAACACACCTGATTACGGCGCATTTCTTTGTTTTATGTAGTTATGAATTTACAAAGGTAGTTTGGCTATTAATGTTTTAAATAGCCTTTGAAGTTTGTCAGGACCAGTGACATTAAGCAAACAACTCAGTCAATTCAACAGAAAAACAATCAATGAACTCATGACATAACGATATAATCGTTAGTTAACTCCCGCATTCAGGAGCAGTTTTTTAAGGCCGGTTCCAAACTAATATGATAATACAGGCGAGGAGGAGGGCCGTCCAGTGGCACGCAACAGTGTACCTGGCGGAGGGCATGATGTCGGATCATGGAGTCAGTCTTGGAGGCGCTGGGGCCAGTAGGGGCCGAGCTGGGAGAGAGGGCCGCCTGCTGCTGCAGCCTCTGTTCGATCTCCTGACATGGAGGCACATGCACATTCAGGTCTTTACATGGATTATTACATTCATCTATTCCCTACGGCGTAGAGATGGGCAATAAAACAATGTTTATACTGTAATGATATGATATGAATGTAAGTATACAACTAGAGTGGCGCGGACCTGCTCCTGCTGCAGGGCCTTAACAAAGGCGTTCTTCAGCCTGTTGGTGTGCTCTGCCTTCAGAGCCTTCTTCTGATTGGATGTCATGCACTGCTCACAGAGGATTCGCCCACTCTTCTCTTGCTTCCAGTGAGGGGTGAAGTCGGTTCTGCATTGGGCGCAGAAGAAAGGCTCCATGCGGGCCAGTGTCCCTCTGAGTTTACCTACAGAGAAGAGTCCGCTTCAGCTTACCAACACAGTGACGTACTGTGTGTAGGCAGTGCAACACGGCCACTTTCTCACTGGTGCAGCTTTCCAACAGCAACAACTTCATCTCACTACTACCAAGTTAGTTTGTAAAAAAAAAAGTTAGCTTAAAGTATCCACATCTAACTGCAGCAAAAGAACAGAAACTAACTTCACAGAACCACCCTTTACTTTTACAAACAGCAGCAAGACTGACTGAGCTATGACCCTTTGACTGTACATGTACTCTCACATTCTTCTCAGACGGAGAAGGGGAAAGCACTGCAGTGCCCTTTAAGCTTTTGATTACACAGTCAGTAAGGTTTAGTTTTACAATCTGGAACGCTGCCTAAAACAAGTAGCCTCTTACACCCTGACATTAGTGCTTCTTTTAGCCATCATTCTGATCTTAGTTTTATGTTCACAATGGAAGAGAATGATATGGGTGATCTCCCCGAGTGTCAGCTGCTTACCCTGACTGTCGAGCACACTCTGTACCACCTCCTCCAGGCCCACCATGTAGATGAACTCGCTGTTGGCAGCAGAAGGCAAGAAGTGGAGAAGCGGGGCGGGGGGTTTGGGTGGAGGGATCTCCAGCAGGGTTTTCTCCAGCTGCTTCCTCAGGGCCAGCTTGGCTGCTGCCTGGCTGCTGGCCTGGTCGCCCAGTGAACTCACACCTCCGCTAGCTGACCGCCCCCCGCCGCTGCCGCTGCGGCCTGCATGTGAGCCAGATTCATGTACATGGCACTGGAGCCAGAGCGCTGGGAAGCTGCTACCTGCTGGCTAGCCTGCAGGAAGACACGTTCCACTGCTTGGAAAAATTAATTTTTCACTATAAAAACTCACATGAGAACACTGCTTTGTTCAAAATAAACGCTCACTTCATTTCTGATGCTGCAACACATTCCAATAAAAGTCGGGTCGGCTGCATTTCACGGCCAGTAACAAGGTAAAACAATGAAAGGATGGTTCCATGTGAACCAGGTGATGTCAACAGGTGACTGCATCATGATTTAGTGTAACATAGGACGCAGAAGATTTACACATCACTGTTTTCTGTTTTAATTTAGGTTTTACATACCGTCCCAGGTGATGCGCAGTGCCTGGAGCTCTACCCAAAGGATTTGGTTTTTGTCTTTTTTCCTCATGCTTTAAGTTAAACTGTCAGTACAGTATGACATTACTGAAGGCAGTGCAGACCTCAGTGCATGATACAAACCCACACCTGTTGGTAGCTGACAGCACTGGCCATGCTGCTGGAGCTGGAGCGAGACATCCCAGGCTTGGAGGAGACCCTCTGGCCCTGAAGCTGGGCAGGGTTTGGGGCTATCACTCTTTGGGACATCAGCATGGGTGGCAGGCTGGCATTAGCTGCTGATCTTATGACTGTATGCCCCTACAGAAGAGAAAAGACCATCATCATGGAACATCATACGTAAATAAAGGTGGGTCAGTATCAGTAAAGAAAACTGCATTTACAAGATAAATTCAGTATATTCCATAACACAAACTCATAAGTACAACTACAGTTATGCTACACTTACCACTCTACTGAGATCGCTTTCTATTTCTAACACAATTCATAGTTTCAGACTCATTAACTCCAGTTGTTCTTCCTTCTTTGTTTAGCTACCACCAACAGAACAGCAGTTCTGGTGTTTATACATTCAACACTGATGTGACAATGCTCAGACAAATGCTCAGACAAACTAAAGGCCTGATGCGCCTCTGTAGTTGAGCTGATCAGTTAGTGCTGTGCAAACAGATATGACACTGAATTAATCAGGACGATAGGTAAACAGGGAGGAAGTGTTGAGTTGGGATTAATAGGAACCGGGGGACATTACAAATAAAGGCTTGTCTCTAATCTCTAGGTAAAGTCAGAGTAAATAATGGCCCGTCTTTCTCTCAGGTAAATAAGGCCACTCACTACCTGACTGTGTGTGTGCCTGCTGCAGTATGAGCATTACTTTGTCCTGTGCTGCCTTCCACATTTCTATTGTTATACAAGTTGTTCTTCTGAGTCAGTTCTGTTAGACCATTAGTGATGTGCACATGATAAAGCCAATGTAGTCATGTGACCAGATTAAAATACTGTTAAATACTGGTTCATAAACCTGTTCCACAATGTATACATTCAGACCTTGTGACACAAATATACTGAATCAATTTTATGGTTTAAATGACAAACCTCCATCATAATATCACAGGTAAGAAATACATGCACTTTGGTTCAGTTTTAACGCAGCTGGTCAGCGAGGGGCGGCTGTGGCTCAGGAGGTAGAGCGGGTCATTTCCTAACCGGAGGATTAATGGTTCAATCCCCGGCTTGTCCAGTCAACGTGTCAAAGTGTCCTTGAGCAAGACATTGAACCCCCAGTTGCTCCCGGTGATGACACCGGTGTGTGAGTGATTGGGTGAATGGCCAAATAGTGTGAAAGCGCTTTGAGTGTGCTGTAAAGCATAGAAAGGTGCTGTACAAATATAAGACCATTTAACAGTGACATGGTGCTCAGGTACGTTTTGCTCTGAAGGAGCAAAACACACCTCCAGCTGTGTCTCCTCTCTTCAGCAATAAAATCAAGCTGATGTCCCCATGCTAAGAATGGAGCCCTGTACAGCTCCAATATAAACAGCTGTGACTGTAATTGGTGAACTATAAACTATACTTATTCCATAGGCTACCTCCTGCTATGCTCGGAGGTCGAAGCTACAGGTTGCTAACACACAGAGGGCCACTGCCAGCATGTCTGCATAACGTAGATCACTTTTGACAGCTAAACTTTAACTGATTAAATAAGGGATTTGGATTGAATAAGCAGATTTGACTAAATTTCACTGAATGATTGCTGACTTCTTCTGTCTTTACTCAATGCAGACTCAGTGCCTAATTGGACAGGTTCACCTAACTAAAACAAAGTCTAATCCAGCAGTTCTGCATTAAACAGCAAGTCCAATGCTTTTTGGCCAAACTTATTTAAAGAGGTGTTCATTAGTGCTGTGTTACACTGAAAAGTGTTTCTAATAATTAGCCTATTATTGCTGATATAAACTGGGTGTACAAGCTATTATAAACCTATCAGTAAGACAACAAAATAAAAAACATGGTCGTATTAGCATGTGAAACCAATAAACAGCTCAGTGCATAATACTGTGTTAATCTCTTAATGAACGAGGCACTTCTGGTGACATTTTTTTTTTTTACACAGACCAGGTTGAGGGTGCATCCAGCAGCAACATTACACCAGGAGCTGTCCCTTCATGTTGTACACAGCTCCATTAGTGTTTAGACAGATATGATACACAGTGTGGGCAGCAGGGGGCAGCAGTGGCCTGGTGACAAACCAGGCAAAATATCACCATGCACGCAGGGACGCACACACTTCCATCTCTGTGAGGACACTTATTAATACAGTGTATTGCCTAGGCCCTCACCCTGTCCCTAACCATCAGAACTAAATGCCTAACCCTAAACCCTAATACCCCACCATAACCTAAACCTAACTGTAACCTGAACCCTAAAACCAAGTCTTACTCACAAAGGTGTTTCAGAAGAGTGAGGACCAGTGAGCAAAAAATACTTTTTTTGGTCTTCACTATATAGCAAGTACAAGAACACATGCACACACACAGATCTGCTGAATATTTAATACCATCTCAACATGTAATGGAGCAGCAGAACTACGTTATGAAGAACAAAGGCTTCCAGCAAGAGGCTGTCTCATAATCAGTGGACCTTCGATTAACCCTTTCATTCTCTAAACTAAAACCAGTCCTACTGTCAGACTACGCCAACGTAGCAGCCTTCTGTCTCTGCACTCAGAGAGCTGAAGAAAATGTTAAGAAAATACTGGGATGATGAGACCTCTGAAGAACCTAAGCCTCAGGATTATGACTTTGACTTTCACCTGTGGAAAAGACGACTCTGCTTTGTTTTCTGGTAGGATTCTTCCAAATGAGATGCTGCACTCAAAGCCAAATTTATGTTAAATAGTCTAGACTAGCAAACAAGGAGCCCCAGCCACAAAACCAAGCTTTTACAAGGATGCTTTTTGCTATGTTAACCAAGTCCTTCAGTGATACAGGACTGGATCTCAACGAAGTCAGGGGACTCACAAGAGACGGATAGAAAACCGACAGGGGAAAAAAAAGACATCCCTAGTGTGGATTGATGTTTTTCTTAGGTCCTCCCTGCCTAGTAAACATGGCACCTTCTCACTGGCTGCATCTCAAGTCTCTTATATGATTGTTTTCTCACTGAAAGTCATTTCACTTGAATGAGGATGGAGGACATCCCAGGATATCTGCTCTGAGGAACCACGAGAAAGGATACAAAGCACCATCATTTGTGGAAGTGTTTAATGGACCAACATGTCCCTTTATCAGGAATCAGATGGACATCTCATGTCTTCTGAACACATTTCCTTGATTCCTCTCTCCTTTCTCTTTCTATCTTTTCCTTGCACCTTAAGTGGGTGGGACTAAGATGACAGGAAGTGATGCAAGTGAGTAAAACATGGATGCATATAATAAATCTGAGATAGAGCCAGAATCTCCTCACTCTGCTCGGATGACTTGGAAAGCTTTTCAGTCTACCATAACAAAGGACATCTCAATTCCCTTACTGTCGTTCAGAGGAGCAAGGAGGGAGGAGGCTGCTTGGAAGAGACATGAATGAGGATGTGAGACCATCCTTTGAGTAGGTCTTTTATCGGACCGACATGCTGTTAGTGGTTGGACACTGCAGCTGATTGGACTGATCTGATACTACATTAGCTTTATACCAGGACAAATACCCGATTCAACTAAATCACCACCACAAATACATTTTGTTCTCATTCATTATTTAGCTAAAATTACCGGATCAGTGTAACGTGTAGGTCTGACAAAGGAAGCATGATTTAAAACAACTGCCGTCATTGGTTTCTATCAGACAGAAATCACGCTGTGACAGGAAGAAAGAATACCAACTGAGGATATTTACACAATTTCCACTTTCCCCCAAACATGTACACTCATCAGCCACTTTATTAGGGACACGTGTACAACTATATGCAATTGAATGCAACACTTCCACCTTAACAAGCTCAAAATGTTGACGTGCATTCAGGTGTAGCCAATAGTGGCTGGTGAGTGTACACTAGCCAGCCTTTTCTACAAATTATGACACATTCTCACTGTAACCTGGACAATTACAAAATGAATTTACAAAAAGAATATGAAAGAAATGCAGATGCAAATAATTATTAAAAATAAAGCCGTGTTGGTTTATGTGCTTCCAGTGTCTGGAAGTGCAACTTTACAAACTGTGATTTGAGGTACTGATCGCAATATCAACACAAGGAACAGGGTTGAATGGATACGCAGATGCTGTGCATTTAAGGGGAAACGGACATTTCAGACTTCAAATTTGAACTTGCTTAAGTAATGTAGCTGTACTTGAAGACATTCTGGTGATTTAGTGTAACACAGAGCTGTTAGGTCAGCTGACTACACTGAACTGAACTGAACAGGTGGAGCTGTAGAAGTTAAAATGCTGCTCGCGTGTGTGGGAAAAACACAAACCTGTGCAGTACGGAGGTTCTGGGGTTCAGGGTTGTGCAGGCCGGGTCTCACAGGTAGCTTCCCCAGGCCAGGAGAGCTGTGGATGGGAGGAGGCTGCACAGAGGACGCGGCGTTCTGGACCACCGGGACCTGCACACGGCCATCAACACAATATAGCAGGCCAGGCTTCAGTAACGCTAACAGACCCTGCCATGCTCATGCTACAGATGAGGTCTTCTTCACATTCTATCCAATACCGGAGATGCTACTACAGTACTCATTTACAACTTACACCATGATCGCAGCCAATCTTTACTTTGGCTCACCATGACGGTGACTTTAACTAATTTAATAATGATCACATATTTGTTATAAATAGTGACATCAATTTTTACAGCACACAAAAGTCTTCTAAATGTTTTTTAAACATCCAGACAGCCATTTGTTTCTGTATAGTATCAGACACTTGAGCTTGTTATACCAGGATGAGTACACACAATATTTTATCTAAGGAGATTAGCTCATCACAGAGTCCGTTGTTCTTACTGTAACTTAAATAAAAGAGAGCCAGCCCTGCAGGACCTCCCTCTTGCACTTCTTCACAACTGCTATCCAGGACCACCGTCATTGTTCTACCTGACAGCTCTAACATCATCGTCCTTCTTGTACAGGAGAGGAGACGTTACTGGGCTGATATTAATTCTTCACAGTGACCACCCTGTCTGCTACTACATGAACCCATCCAGGCTCCTGACTGTGTGCATATTAAAGATGCACTGTGGATTTTATCTGGACACAGTAAAGCTTGGCAGTTGATTTAAATACCAATACTTTTCATTTACACAATAAACAAGTCACCAAACATAAAATGCATTCAGAAATGTGTCCTTTCTGCCCTTAAATAACTTGTTCAGCACCACAAACACGCAGAGGCTTTTAATACTTTCAAACTAAAGAAAAGGGCAAAGCTACAATAACTTTGACAGTTATTAATAAAATCATAATTTCCACCAAGTTACAGCATCGACTTGCTCAACTGGGCCCACATGGTGGTGAAACTAATTGATGTCAAGTAAAATTAGAATGTACAGCTGATTTCCAATGTCCAGTGAAGTGAATGTTTGACAGTTGCTCCTGAGCATGGATTTTTATTGATTATTACAGAGTTTTAACCAGAACCAGGAGAACTGAGCACATCACTTCTGTTCTTAAATCCTTCCACTGGCTACCACTTTACTACAGACTCGATTTTGAAGTGCTTCCTGCTTGTTTATAAATCACTCAGAGGTGTGGGGCCAAAATACATCTCTGACCTCCCTGAAGACTCCAAACCCAGCAGGGCTCAGGTCCTTAGGAAGCAGTCAGCTGGTAGAGGCTCAGGTCAGAACCAGTTACTGTGCTGCACACAGATGGAACCAGCTTCCTGAGGACCTCAGACATGAACCAACTTGGCTGCCCTCAAGTCTCAACTGAAAACCGTTCTCCTGGGCCTTCGGCTGACTGGGTTCTAGGCCGAACCTTCTATACTGTAACTGCTAGATTTCTGTGTATTTTGCGGTTTTGTTCTTTTTCATTTGATCTCATTTTAATGTTTTATGTTCACTCTGTTTTAACTGGTTTCATTCTGGTTTTAATGCTGTTACTGTTTTCCTTGCCTCTGTAAAGCACTCTGAATAGCCTCTGCGTATGAAATTTGCTATATAAATAAAGTTGCTTTGCAAATTGCATCTCTTTGTAGCTTTGTTATGTCTGTTTTTATTCATTTTGCTTCCATTTGTTGCTGATTGATTTTTCCAACAAGAAAATCAGCAGAAGCATAAAGTAGTGGAGTAAAACAATTATACAACATTCCACCGCTGAATAGTCAACAGTCAGGCAGAGGCAGGCAGTGAACAGCCAGCGGTGCACGGCGTTGGCTGTGGGTCTGTGCCAGTGAACGTGAGGCAATCAGCAGCAGCAACTGACCTTCTGCACCACGTTCTCCTTCTGCATCTGGCTCTGCCTGAGCTTCTTGAGCAGCACCAGGCGAGCCTCCTCCAGACGCAGCTCCTCTCTCAGAGCCTTGATCATCTGCTGCCTCTCCTCTCCTGACTTCCCCTGGAACGCACACACAGTCACAAGTGACACATGGCATCCAGATGGCACATTTAAGGCAACTTACTGAACACCTCAGAACTAAAACAGCCTGCCTACATACACTCTTTATTAAAGGCTTTAAAGGGGCTAAGAGCAGCCACGTGATGTGCCACAGAAAGCCCACTGTAATGAAGCCCTGTTTGGACATGCTCTGTGGCTTCAGTCACTTCCTAATGTGCTCGTTATTTGATGAGTCTGTAGACATTCACTTTGACAGCAATGGCAGTGACCTGTTACACATGTTGGCAGGGTAGGAAATTAACACCCAGCAGCCACCAAATGCCCGTAGATTTTCCATTTGGCGACTAGATCTCAGAAGACTACCGGTATCCTGAGAGTGGGTGCCCTGCTTCTGTGTCACAGTGTAACCATAGCCATTAAGAGGCAGAGTAGCATTGGGTCCCCATGGAATACGGGCTGGTGCGTAGTCATGCACCACACGCCGACACAGACCGGAGAGAAGTGAGTGATGGTGGTAGAGAGCGGTGTCTCAGGAGGAGCTTCAAGTTGCTTCAAATGATTAAGCAACCAATGGGTTTACAAAATTTCAAATTTATTTTTTATAGAATTGTATTTTGGCTTTTAAATTTTAATAAAAAATGAATTTAATAAATGTGTTACCTGCTGATTGATACGGGCTGTTAAAATAACCCTGCTTCATATTTTGCTCTGGCCTCTTTGGGTATGTATTTAGCATAAGTGTTTCCCATATATTGACTTATTTATGAAGACCACATCAGTATCAACACTGCCTGCCACATATTGATTTAAAATAGGATAAATCCTATTAGTGTTGTGCTCAGTCCCTCCGTGCACTGCTCTGTTTCTCTCTCACACACAGACATGCACATGACAACGCACCATCTGTGAAGAGCTCCACCACCCCGTGTTTGTTTTTTAACACAACGCTGTCAGATTCTGTTATTAGCAAACTAGTAAGGCTGGCTAAGCTAACACTAGAATACAGCTGCTGATGTGGTCAGCACGCTGTACGCGGCGTGGGTCTATATGGACGGCTCTGCAAGTGGATAAACCGAATACTAGTCCACAAACTCAGATGCTGAATGTTCCATGTTCTCAGTGAAGGAGAATATCAAAAAACACACGTGGGAAAGCTCATGAGTCTGATCGGTGTGATTGGCGATCTAGTTTATTCGTTTTGGATTTAGACTGGTTTCAGCCAGTGTAGCTGAAGCAGCGAGAGAGGGTCAGGATGAGAGAGATGTAGGAGGAGGGCAGCAGGTGACATGCTGCTGCTGTGGGAGAGGGAGAGCAGAAGGGTCAGGTCAGATGAACAGCACTGCAGAACCCCCCAACCCCGCTGCAACACCGCAATGGAAACATTAGAATACCTTCATATCTCAATGAAATCCTCAAGCAGATGTTTGTGACACAAAACGGCAATTTATTACTTTGGCTGATTAAAAAAAAAAGTTTGGCGGATGGATATTTGTTAAATCCGTCAGGCACTTCGCTGGTTTGTCAAAAAGCTGATTTCAGACCCTGCAGGTTGGAAACACTTGTACATGGAAGGCATCATTTTGTGACCGCTATCGAGGTTTCTACCTTGAACATGTCCAGGTTGGCCTGGTGCAGGCGCTCCTCGGGGCGAGGTGTTGTTCTGGGGCTGGACACCTCATTGTCTGACAGGATGATGACATCTGGAGATGGTGTCTGCCTGTCATGCTCCACATCACTTCAGGTGGAAAGAAGAAAACCAAGAAATCTTGTCATCCTTTGTAACATCTGAAATGCATCTTCATCATCACATAAGACAGTTTATTAAAAGTTTATCTGGACATGAAGCTTTGAGGGAGACTTGAGAGTTGCACAGCTCAGTTTGCCAGGAAGTTCAAACCACTTTGGTGGAGGTGGCTGTGAGAACAATGTGCCTTCTAGAGGCTGCTAACAGGGCTGTCAGGATAGGTTTCAATTAAACTATGTTGAACCAGGCAAACAGTGTTCAAACCAACAGAGCCTTTGCTCCTAAATTCTACTGGAGACGCTCAAGTTTCTAAAGATACCAAGGGCCTCATTTATAGCTTCCTTGTACGGACAAAAGGGCTTAAATACGCCCCTTCCCTCAAAGGAGTTTATCTTTAGGTAGGTAGGACTTTATTGATCCCACAATGGGGAAATTTCTGTGTTCCAACAGTAGTAGAGAGCAGCAAACAACACGATAAGAACAGACACTACACACATATCTTTATGAACAAATTCCAAATTACCTAAAATAAAGAAGTACCTGTTATAAAAACAGATTTAATGAGAGAACGTTGCACATGTATGAAAACATTTTTGAGACAGTGAGAAGCAGCAGGGGCGGCAAAGCGGCATAGTGGTTAGCACTGTCACCTCACAGCAAGAGGTTTCTGGGTTCGAGCCCGGGCCGACCCCGGGGCCTTTCTGTGTGTAGTCTGCATGTTCTGCCCTGTGCCTGAGTGGGGTCTCTCCAGCTTCTTCCCACAATCCAAAGACATGCAGCTTAGGTTGACCGGTGACTCTAAACTGCCCATGGGAGGTTGTTTGTTATAAACAATCAGGTCAGCTATGTCATGTGTACTATTCCATAAGCATCTCTCTATTTTAAAACATGCAGGACAACCCAAATCACAGCATTTGGAGCTGATTTATTATAGAACATTTTGTGACCCTGCTGAGGCATGTCCATGTGTATACATCTATAAGTTAGTTGTGATGCATGAAGGGAAATTTGAGTGCAAACCCAAATGAGTGATGAATGAGTTTTATAACTCTGGTTATTTTGACGTACAGAGTTGTTCTTGTCCGTATGGACATAAACCCTTGGTAAGGATCCTGCACACAGCTTTATAAGTTATGTAGCAGGTACCTGGGCCATTTCCTAATACTGATAAAGTGTGCAGCCATAAAATCCTGGGCTCCAGTTTGAACCAGGCCTTCATTTGTAACGCCCCCTGCTGTCTGTTAATCCAACTCAACACTTCCATGTTTACCTGTTCTCCCGATAAATTCGGTGTAACGTCCATTTCTACACCACTAACAGAGCAGTTCAACTCCACAGGCACATCAGGCCTTAACTTTACCTTGTTGCACTGAACGAAACTCAACGCTTCACCAGAATTTTTTGGTGAAAAGTATTGCAAACATCATTTCCTGTGTAAGCTACTGAAATAGCTTTGTTGATGGTAGCTCAACTTGCATCAGTAGTATTAAAAAAAAGAAAAAAAAAGAAAAATGGAGTTGATGAGAGTCTGATAAAAAGACCTGTATTAAAATAGACTGTGTTCTCAGCAGAGTACAACATGACTGTAGTGGTACTGATGATTGTTTTTAAATTAATGCTGTAAAAATGGACATTAAGCTATAGGTAATTTCACCTGCCTGCTTGTGTTGTCTTTATGTGGTCACATTACTGGTTGGACTATACTTGTTTGTGTTGGCCACACCTCTGCTAAGCATTTGATATTTGCCCAGTATTTCAATACCTGATTTTATATAAGAATTTATATCGTCTTTGATGAAGAGCTTCGAGAAGCTAAAAGTACTCAGATGGAAGTCTCCTCACGCTGTGCTCCCTTCCCTGAACAAGGTGGTTACCAGGTGAGACCCGGGAGCTGGAGGGGTTTATACCCTCACTCAGATCTCTAGGCTTCCACATACTGATTTGGCATTCATGGCTTGGTTCTGGCATCACTAGCCACATACATTCTGGGAGCTTACATACACATGTGCACTTTAAATCATGTCCAATCTATTTAATTTCCCATAGGCAGACTCGAGTTGCAGAGACATCTCAGAGTTAATCAGAGCTAAAAGCTCAACATGAAGTGCTAAACCAAAGGCTCTGACTACTCCTTTTATGTACCCTTATACGTTTCTGCTTTTGATATTCATGGGCTTCATCAATTTAGAGTGCAAGAGTGTGTCTGTTCTGAATAGTACTGGTTTCATTAACAAAAACTGACAAAGTTTGTCAGCAACCTTTTCCCTCTAAGATTAGACAATAACAGTGACAGATTGGTTGTAAAAAAAGAGGAAAAAGCACATTGGACCCACTTCATCTGAGAGAAACCAGCCACTAAACCACCAGGGACTAAATCACTACTGTCCATGCACACCACACAGACACTGAGGCAACCTAGTGGTAAGAATAATAAATAATGTCGCATTACTCTTAAAGCCATAATAAACTAACCTCTAAAGGCTGTGGTGTAATCTTATTTACAGTATCATTCAAAAGTTTGTGTCACTATAATTTTTCTGTGCTAATTTCCTTTTTGTAAACAACACTTCAAAGGGTGTAGTAACAGTCTTTTGTCATAAGTCATCAACAGAAGTGAAGACACCTGTAGGACCTGTTTGCATCAGTTTTCAAGGCTTCATTTACTTCCACTGCTGCAGAGAAGACGCACGTTAACCTGTTACTTACTCCCTATAAAGGCCTGTTTCATGTTAAATTTACACACACACACACACACACACCTTTAATTAGAAAAGGATGCATTTTTGTGGCGATTAGAGCAAAAAGAAACAGCTCCATGGACTCTTGTGATACGACACTAGTCCTCTCTACCGTTCCATGCGCAGCTCCGCAACATGTTGAGTACAGAGATGCACCTTTTTTTTTTCCAGACCAAGTACAAGTACTTACATTTGAGTACTTGCCGATACGGAGCACCAATATAAGTACCTAAAAATAACAATGCTGTATTTGTATTACAAAAATTACAATTAATGTCACCGTGTATGCGTACGGACTGTGTGAGCTAATCTGATCCCAGCACAGACGTATCCAGTCGACACACTGTACGCGTTTTTCCACTGGGATTTATTTTGGTGATCGCCACCAAAGTGTAAGTAGAATTAATGTACATGTCCCTAAGAATCTGCCCGTGAAATTACATCCAAATACATAAACATTTACTAATTACTATACCAAAGGGACTTGGATGAAACAGCGCAATGAGAATGCTAAAGTTGCCCTTTCTCCCTGTAAAATGCAGGATCCTATTCTGAAGGACAGAAGTACAGTAACGATCGTGTTTTTAGCATCAATGCTTACTTGGCCGAGACAGAAACAAGCTAATAGCCATGGATATGTTCTCAACAATTGGGTTTAGGGGATGAACAGACTGGGCAATGGTCCTCTGCCCCAGACTTATTCTGGATGCACAGCTCACAGGCATCTGTTCAACTAGTTTCAGTTTTAGTCAGACTTTGGATGGAATTACTTTAATACAAGGAGGCGCTCCACGTAGTCATCTCTTCCTTCATCCAAACACTCCACTCTACTACCTTCCCTGTCTGCACTGGATGAATGACTTCATATTTCAAAATTTAAAATAATCAAGCTACATAGTTATGATTTCAGATTACAGCCTGAGGATTTACCAGGTTTAGTCCAGAGTCCTCACTGGCTGAAAAGGACTGTCACATTTGTCCAAACTACACAATGAAACTTCAGATTACAGCCTGAGGTCTTACCAGGTTTAGTCCAGAGTCCTCACTGGCTGAAAAGGACTGTCACATTTGGCCGAACTACACAATGAAACTCCAGGCTGTTGTTTGATAAAGTCTCTGTGCATCTGTACCTTTGCGCTCAGAGGTGGTTTTAAATCACAATGCTGTCTCCCCATCATGATGCCTGTCCCTACCAGCTAGCGAGACCAAGCCGTCTCCACTGTGTTCTTGTTCTTCAGCATCACTGGACTCAGACTGCAATGACACTTCCTGCTGTCTCAAATATTTGAATACTAAAATTGAAAGCTGACTCCCTACCCAACATATATCTGAATAGTTGAATATTTGGGTCCAGCCAGTTGTTATGTTTTGCATTGTTTGGATGTCATATAATTACAGCGATGTCCGTCCCTTACAGTGAAGTGTTTGGACTGTTGTGCAACTTTTGCATCGCCACAATGGATTTCAATTGAAGCAATAATGATGTTATTAAAGAGTAGACTGTCAGCTTTAATTCAAGGGGTTTAACAAAAATATCCATTTAGGAATTAGACATTTTTATAAATACTCCCCAGTTTTCAGAGGCTCAAAAGTAACTGGACATACAGCATAAAATTATATACAACTAGAAATTTTAATATATAGATGCAAGTCCTTTGCAGCCAATGACTGCTTGAAGTCTGGAACCCATGGACGTGATCAGATGCCGAGTTTCCTCCCTTTGATTTGCCAGACATTTACTGCAGCTGCCTTAAGCATTTGGATAAATCTGGGTATCTAGTATAAAGCCATTTACCTCAGAATTCATCCTGCTACCTCTACCAGCAGTCACACCATCAATAAACACCAGTGATCCAGTTCCACTAGAAGCCACCCATCGCCATGCTGCAACACTGCCTGCGTCATGTTTGACAGATGGTGTGGTAAAGCCTTGGATCACGACCCCTTCCTTTCCTTCTTCATACTTCTGTCTTCCCATCATTCTGGTAAACGTTAATCTTGGTTTCATCTGTCCACAAAATCTAGTTCTAGAACTGTGCAGGCTTTTTTATATGTTTTCTGGCAAAGACTAAGCTGGCTTTTCTGTTCTCGAGTGTTACTAGTGCTTTGCACTTTGAGGGAAACTGTCTGTATTTAGCAGATTCTGAGATTTCCTTTCACCGAGGCACCTTCTGATTGTACACTGTAAGCCCTTTTACACAGAGATCGTAGCAAAGTATTCTGAGCCTCCTTCAAGGCGGCTGTTTTAAGCCCTTTTACACTGAACTTAAAAAAGCCGGCTGTGCTCTTTTTACACAGCTTCTGGCATGATGCTGATCACGGCGTCTGTGTAGCTTGTCGCTAATTTGAGAATGAAATGACCGTTATCCGATTTTGTATGAGATATATATATATATATAAATATAAATGGAAATCGGGAATTACAGTAACCTACTATGTGCATCTAGTTTCAGGTCTGTGTGTCTGAGGGCAGGGTGACACGCAAACACACAAGGTGCACAGCAGAACAGACAGAAGTGTGTGTTTTGGCTGCATTCACACAGTTATTCCCACAGGGGAGTGCAGAGGTGTGGCTGTGTTTATTTGAGCTTTATACAGTAACCACTGGCAAACAATCACAAGATAACGTTTAAATTTTCAGAGTCACTTTGTTCTTGTTGACACTGCTCTCTCCCCTCATTCACTCTCTAGCCCTCTCTCTCTCAGATCTCCAGCCCCCCCCTTTTTTGCCTCATCTCATTTATACAGGGGACGGGGCAAACTTATTTCAGCAAAAATACTAGCTCTCGTTGCAACACTTTGGAGGGTCAACTTCAACCCCTTGGTGCCTTGTGTAACATACAAAGATGGATGTGAATAATGGCAGCATTTTTCACGGTGGAGGCTGCAGACTGATCAAACCACATCTAGGACACTAAAATACTACACACCAGATGCAGTGAATTTTAAGAACTGTTAGGATCCTGCCACAAAAACAAAACCTAGTGTTTTGTATATCACCTTACAGCCGGAATGTCCAACCAAGAGCCACTGACATCTGCAGCGTGCAGGCTCTCATTCTGACCAAAGGCTGTAGTTAGTAATCCTTCAGGCAGACAGAGTCCGTAGAGGGATGGCAGTGGCTTAGAAAGTAGAGCGGTCAGCGGTTCAAATCCTGTTCTCCCCAGTCCACATGTCGAAGTGTCCTTGGGCAAGACACTGAACCCCAAGGTGCTCCCGATGGCCAAAGCAAGGACAGCGCCACCATCAGTGTGTGTGTGTGTGTGTGTGTGTGTGTGTGTGTGTGTGTGTGTGTAACATACTTGGCCAATAAAATATATCACCATGATTATCATTGCTAGTGGCTCAGGTGATCGACCACACGTTGACATGTTAGAGGTGGAAATGACAAAAGTAATGATTACTGAATTCACTTTCCAGTCCTGCCTTTGTTGCTGCCGTATTACTGGGGCACTTGAATAAAATAATGTTATTATTAACAGCTGTGATCTTCCTACCATGACAAGTTGACCTGCCTGCTGTGGAAAAGGGCAAGTACACCTGCAAACTGGTGGCTCCCTGGGAAATATGGCTGGAAAAACACATTACTACTAGTATTACAATACTGATGTAACAGTGGCATAATGATTTGGCAGATCTTTCACAAATACTATTTACAACAATCTCACTGTAGGATCTTACAAAGTTTTAGAAACTTTCTAAAAATACATACATCTGTCTATTTGGTCACCAAATAAGAAAAATTCTTTTTGATGTCAACTTGTCAAAATGTTAATTAGTCCAAAAGATAAATAGTTAAACCCTATTAACTCAGATATAATCCTTGGGTTGCCAGTAGAGAGCTACACAGCAGAGATGAAAGCAGCTCCCCTTTCTTCTTAATGTGTAAATAGTTCATTCTTACCATCTTCTCCCAGCGCTCATATCCACCGGCTCATCCAGGATGTTCTCCTTCCCATTCTTACTGGGTCCAACATGGCCACCATGACCTCCCAGCCTCAGGCTTCCATTCAGCTTCTCCTCATAAGCAGCACTCATTAGACTCTGGTGGTGGAGGGCACTGGCTCCGGGACCCTTCCCGTCTCCCAGGGGCCCTGTGACCTCCAGTGCTGCTAGGTCAGCGAGGTCTTTGCGCTTAAGTAGTGCCAGCATTTTTAGGCGCTCCATAGCCTCATGACCCTCCATTTTATGGCGCTTGGCCAGAGCCTCCTCTCGCTCGCTGGGTGAATCCAGACCTCGTTTCAGCAGGTTGAGCCTCAGCGCCTCCTCAGACATCCGCTCCATCCTGAAGGACACAAGGAAACAGTGGAGGACACACAGGGGTCAGCAGAACCGCATCAAGCAATCAATTCAATTTTTTTTGTATAGCGCCAAATCACAACAAAAGCCATCTCAGGACACTTTACAAAGTAATAATAATAATAATAAATAATAAATCATTTATATAGCACTTTACAACTCAGAAAGGGCCCAAAGTGCTGCAAAGTAAAAACATATCTATAGACTAAAGCAATAATCAACCAATATTAAACAGTCAAAAAAACATAGAACATGTACACAATGCCGTTTAAACATATAAAACAAATTAAAGAGCAAAGTAAGGTCTAGACCTTACTGTTATTACTATTATAGAGGAAAAACATAGCAAGCACTTGGCGACAGTGGGGAGGAAAAACTCCCTTTAACGAAGAAAGATCTGACAGACCCCAGCTCTTGGTGGGCAGCCTTCTGTCCCGACTGGTTGGGGTGAGTGGATAGAGGAGAGAGAAAAGAGAAGAGAAAAGCAACAAGACACAACAACCAACCAACCAAACAATGGTCAGGTTGATGTGGCCAGTGACTGCTCATCAGAAACATAGAGCTCCAGAGCCAGGGCAACCTGCAGAAAGGTACAGGGAGGGAGACAGAGGAGATGCTATGGGGAGAGAGGAGACAGTTATTGATGTGTAATGGTGGCATATAGATGGATGGAGAGAGGAAGGAGAGGAGAGGAGCTCCACACCATGGGGCAATCAAGCACCAGGATCTCCAACACCCAGCTGAATTTAGGTCACCCAACTACACATTTCACCTAACTTCAGAATACTTAATCACTGCTTGGTGAAGCAGCTTGAGAAACTGCCTACCTCCACACCTTTCCAAACAAATGATCTGATATCACCCACCTCACTTGCTGATTGGTCAACTGTGTGGAGGTGACAAGTAGCCAGGGTTTGAACTTTTCTCTCAGCTCTTTTTCATATTACCCAACTAGGAGTGTGCAATATATATCGCTGACGATAATACCAAGAAAATGACCACAAATAACCCCCACAATCTCAAAAGCAAGCTTTGAGAGTCCACACATTCACTGTCATGTCACCTCACAGGACAGACTACTGCACATAGACACAGAGTGCACACAGCTCGCTCACACACCACAAGTTAAGCTAGGGTAGCTGCCTAAAAAAGCTGAGTGAAGTTAAAAATGAGTGTACAAACAGCACCAGGAGACAAAATACAGACACTATCAGCCTCCCAGTCTATGCCAGTAGATTAAATTGATAGATATGGATCATTCCCAGCCACAAGGAGGTACTGTGTTTTAGCTTGGAAAAGATGGGATTTTACAAACTATGACAGAAATGAGTTGCTGTTAAAGACAACTCAATGCGTGTTTCACCATCTGCAAACTAACCACTGCACAGATTATGAAAAGCATCAAAGAGAGCTGTCCATGGCGTTAAACGAGCCAAGGTTCCAACACTCAGCAAATATCATTCTGCAGAAGTGACTGCACTGTTTGTGGATTTTTGTAGTTGAATGCTTCAGTTTTACACAAGACCTGTTTTCCTTAAATGTTATTTCCATTGGCATCATTAGTAAGTGACAAAAAGAGTGAGCTAGTATAAATAAAAATCCCAGAAAATATCTAGGTATCATTTTCTGTCACCATATTTATGACTTTTCATGTGAACAACCGAGTGCAACACTATAAAGAGCCTGTCTGAAGATGTGCCTTGTTATCCCCCAGTTTCAGTGTCTTATCAGAGATCCACCTTTTCACTCCACATTCCAGTGCAGACATTCACAACAAGACACTTCGGACTGTGGTAGGTCAACACACTGCACTGCCTGGTTCTGTTCTACCACTGCCAGGCCAATAGTGGGTCTTATTATAAAAACAAATGTTTTAGTAGGAGTGAATACACACAACACAGCTGGGACTGTTCTATATCCAACACCACCCGAGTCAAAAGAAAGTTTTCAACTAACCAGTACAACCACAGTGGCCTGAGAGTTAATGTAGCGACTCACTGGGATGCAACACGGATAAATAAATCAGAGAATATGAGAAGCTGATGGAAGTGGGTTAAACACAGCAGGCCAAGAATAGCCTGGATCTCTATATTAGCTGGTGACAAAACATTTGAGAAATCTTTGTGTGTATACTTGTATGGCTTGGCTATACATTGTGAGGGCCGGTTTACACCATGGTAGTGGAAACAAGTTGCCAAGAGGGCTTTTTCTAATATAGGAAATGTGTCAAGTCATGTGACGCTTGTCACGGGTTCTGCATGTGTTTCCACTGCAGTGTGCCCGATTGGGGGTGTGTTCCAGGAGAAAAGTTTTGACAAGTTCAGGGGAAGGGGTATGTGCCTCACCTCACTTCTTCACACCTCAACTGACCACAGATTACAAATGTGGTGTGTAAAGAGGCACCTACACTGGTGTAGAGGTAAAACTAGGACTTCACCTGTTGGTTTATGTGTAAAACAGGGACTTCAGTGAGTGGACTTGAGCAAAGCAGTGACAACATCACATTTCTGCAAGTCTGTGCTCTGCCTGTTCAACAGCGGTTTGATAAACTGCTCGTAAAGTCTGGTGCACTAACCATCCCTTAATGAAGGTTACTTCAGTTCTACTTTCTGAGTATGAATATCATACAAGTAAAAGACGGTATACAAGCTCTGTAAAAGGTTTTGCCACCAACTTGACTGGCTTCTCTCCTCTATGATTTCACACCAGTATCTTCAGACCTTAGGAACTGTAAACGAGCTTCAGACTGAGTTTTAAAGGTGTGAAAAAGCGCAGCCCTCTCCATTCATTTCTATGGGCGGTTCAACTTAGACCGTACCGGGCGGTGACATCATTCGGCAAAGGCACTTTGTCGAACAATCACATACAGGGGACAACTGGATGTCGACACCCATGGGAAGAAGGCTCTTTTGTTTATCTTGTTAGCATAATCATTCACCGCTATTCACTGTCAAATTTGGGCCACAATTAATGCACCATAACGACACACCATGAATTTTCATTAGCACCAGATGTTAAACAGTGTTTGTTCCATCTATCAGTGCCGACACACTGGTGGCAGAATTGGTGCTAAGGTGGAGTTAGCAGCACGGCATGTACCTGGCATGGTTTGGGCCCACTGGTCCCCTTTAAGGCAGTGGTTCTCAAAGTGTGGGGGGCGCCCCACTAGTGGGGAATAAAGACATGACAGGTGGGGCGCAATGAACGGAAAAAAATTTGAAATGGGTCATTAACACAAGTAAATTAAAATAACATCAGTTCGTGCCTGGGAGAAAAAAGTGGAACCATAGTGCAACAATAACGGTTTAACGTTGGCATGTTAACTGCCGTGCAACAATATAAGGAAACGTTCAAGCAGAGGGCCAATAGTGTACGTAGTGGGCATAATAACGTAAAAGGATAAATTTGTTACATGGACGACAAAAAAGTAGGTGATTCAGCGCAAGCAGACAAAGAAACAACAGGCAGTAGCCTTATCAACCAAAAAGCCAGCTGAAAAGAAAATATGATGAAGCCTATCTTGCGCTTGGATTCACGGTGGGGAGGGTGGGGGCAGAGGAGGGATCCGAGGAGGGACCCATGTGTGTCTTGTGTTTTAAACCGCTGGCAGCAGACGGCATGAGACCCAGCAAATTAAGACATTTAGAGACAACACACCCTGTAAAAAAAGACTGTTCTATTTAGCCTCTTTAATTTAGTTCCCCTTTAATTCAGTTATGCATGTAGTTATTGTTCTGGCCAGTAGGTAGAGATCTGGAGCTATCTTCTGTATATCACTGCAGAAATTCACCATGGGATACATGTTTGCATGACACGGACATTGTGAAATAATCACCAATCACTATTAATGTGAGTAGTATTAATCGTGTTGATACTCGAATATCTGTGTTGTAAGACGCTAAATTTTGGTTAATGATAGTGGTTAATTCAGACCGTGTTGTGGCACTTTAGAATGCTAGCCGTTAGCTACTTAGCATTTATGTTATTACAGCTTGTAGGTCTGTGTTTTGCCTCGAATATGTCCGTGTGGTAGTTGGTGTGAGAGTTCCAAGTTACGTCGTATGTCATTCCTGCATAATTATTAACGGGAGGTTATACTATTAGTGCATTGTGTGACCAATTAATAGTTGATTTAAGTTCAGTATAAACTTTTAGCCACTTGTTGTACTTTAAGTTGTTTCTTGATAATATCGC